AAAAAAAAAAAAAAAAAAAAAAAAGAAACACTTGTAGCATGTACACTCCACTCCAAGTTCCCTGCCATCTGGGTAAGGATCAGAGGCCATATCTCACTCTGGTAGTGCTGGTGAGGCTAACCTCCCCTTAGTCAGGTTAACTGCAGAGGTGGTGGTAGGTAACTAAGGTGCTGTGGTGGAAAAGCACTGGGGGTCTCTTAATTACAGACCCTTCACTAAGTGGGCTCAGATGTTAATAGTCATTTCACTGGAGCTAAGAATGGTGATTCCCTTCTGAACCTACTTTAAAAAATACGAATGATTTATCATTATTTATCATTATTTTAGCAAGAGTATGGACTTGCTTTTACTTTTCTGCAAGTGGTTTACTCAGATTAAGTAAGTATTTTATAATTGTGGTCACATTTGCTAAGTAATCTCTTTTTTTAAAAATGCCTCTTCATATCTGAAATCTATATGTAAATTAGACTTTTGCACATACAGATCAATATCTATCAAAACAAACTCTAGGGTTTATTTTTCTCTTGCTATGTTGGAACTAAGGTGTATTAAATATTGTAACTATCAACAAGGAAAGAGTTGAAACTTTTTTTTAAAGCCTTGTATTTTATTGGAAATGGCATGAATAAAATGATTTATCATTTTAAAATAAACTCAAACCTTTTCCTTTTCTGGACTTATCTTCAGATGTGCTCTGTTAACTAAAAGTAGCTCTCTTGTACTTCAGTCCTAGTCGAACTTCAGCCTCCTGAATCTGAGGCTGAGGCTGAAGAGAGGTAGCAGGGCCAAGACAGTAGTCAGGAGCTTCTTACCAGGACTGGATCCTGAGATGGGAGGAAGTTTTAGAAATAGAACTGAGTTGCAGCAGAGACTGGGGTGGATAGGGGCACAGTAGTTGGCCAGTGTCACAGCTAAAAGTTGGAAGAGATCCACAAGATGGTGCTGCCCATGTCAGGCCATGGTCAGAGGCAGTAGCCAGGGAATTATTTTAAGTCAAGATTTTGTGACAGAATCTACCCTTTAACACCGAGGCCTGGGATTTTTAGCAGCAGTTTTATCTGAGGTGTGTCTCCGCTTTCTAGCATTGACAGAGCCAGCCCACCCTGTGCATGGGGTGTAGCGAGTAGGGTGTGGTTTCTCTGGAGTGGTGGCTTCCTGTCTCAGGCTGGGCATCCTGCAGATGCTCTGTCCTTGGGATACTTGGCGTGCATCATCTTCAGTAGTCTGGCTTTGTTGTATGAGGCAGGACCTTACTGGCTCTTTTTGGTGTTGGGTTATAGGTTGGATAAGGGGTAAAACCAAGGCAAGTATACCATACTGGTAGGGGGAAGAAAGAAGTCAAGGAATAACGTATAGGTTTTGTAACAGAACAATGTTAAGAAGGTGTGTGTAGTGTGTAGTTCAGTTTGAGATAGGTCATAGGAATTCATTATTTTTCAATCTGTAAACTGCATTGATAATTGTGAGTTTCTAATTCATAGATTGGCTTTCTAGGATGCTAGAATTTTGAATGGTGGGTAAAATATTTGGTTTATTATCAGAAGTGGAAAATGA